ATGCACCGCCACGCCCCCTCCTGCCCAAAAACAAAGTGAGCCGGCCGGGATGGTGACGGATCATGTACGTGATATAAGGCACCCAGGACACGGTGACACGGCCGCTTCTAAACAGACATCTGGGTACAATTTACAGCGTTTATAGAAAGTATTTTCCCCCCTCATATCATATTTTTTTATTTTAAGCATGCATTTTTCTATTTTAAAAGCACCCCTCTTTGTAAAATAGAAGAAAAAAAAGAAAAACAAAAACGATCATTCTTTTTTTCAAATACTGTTGTCTGTTCACACCTGCTGCTAAAAACTTTTTATATGGGGGCTATTCACAAAGTTGTCGTAGGCAGTACGGCTGATTTCAGCCATACACCGGATAAAATCAGCCATACATCAGCTTGCTGCGGCTGGCTTCGGGTCGGCCAAACATGCTCAGCATGTTCAGCCGACCCGGAGTGCAGACCTCGAACCTCCGGCAGGCTACTCGCTGCTGTTCGGCCGATTCTCATAGATGCCGAAGAGCAGTGAGTGAATAGCCGAATGCCGCTGAGCGGCATTCGGCTCGGCTATTCTGCTCGTTACCTCTGTGGGACCGAGCAGAATAGAAAAATAGTTTTAAAAAAATAGAAAACGATTGGGCGGAGCTAGCAGTGACAGATAGCTCCACCCAACTGTTTTCTATTGGCCGCGACTAGCTGTCATTACACTGAGAGCTTGTCGGAGCCGGCGGCGTGCCGGCTCTGCTGAGATCTCATGGTTCTGACAGATCAGCGTCCCCTGGTTAACAAGTAACCAGGGGACGTTGAACTGTCAGTACCATGAGAGCTCAGCAGAGTCGGCCTTGACAGCAGCAGTGGGCGGGTGCAATAGCTAGTTTGCTATTGGCTATTGCAAAGTGAAATAGCCAAGAGGAATGTAGCTATGCATTCCTACGCTGTTTTTTTTTTCCGACTGCCGACCGCCGGCGGCTCTGATGTCAGAAAAAAAAAGAAAACAACTAAGCAGAAAAAGGATTACTCTGCTCGATCGAGCAGAGTAAACCTTTCCAGGAGAAAGTGTTTCTCTAGCCGGCCGGCACAATCTAATAGCGGGAGACTCCCGGAGTGTCTGGGAGAGTTGGGATGTAATGACAGATCAGCATCACTGGTAACCAGGGGACGCTGATCTGTCTCTGCAAGTGGCCGAAGCCAGCCGTGAGATGATGGCTGGCTCCGCCCAGCTGTCAGTAGCAGGTTTTCGCCCAGCCAGCTTCGCCTTTCACCTCGGCTCAGTCAAGCGGAAGCATATGCCTTCGGCTCGACTGAGCCCCTCGGCCAACTTCGGGAGCAGGACGGGCTATAGTGAATAGCCCGTACAGCAGCCCTTTGGTTCTACTGGACCGCAGGGGTCCTGGTACCGACTGGACGGGTCCTGGTGCCGAAGGATCAGCCGAAGCTACGGCTAGATCCTTCGACAGCTTTGTGAATAACCCCCTATGGAAAAAATCCAGCTGCCCAATACCAGTGAGTAGATCCTTCTAAATGCCAGACTGATGTCACATATAACCCATGACATACTGTGTGATAGGAAAGCAGGATTTATTGTGTTTACTACTGAACTGTGCGTTCCTTACATCTGACCTTTGTGCGTTCCTTACATCTGACCTCTGCACACTGTGCGTTCCTTACATCTGACCACTGCACAATGTGCGTTCCTTACATCTGACCTCTGCACCTTGTGCGTTCCTTAGATCTGGCCTCTGCACCCTGTGCGTTCCTTAGATCTGACCTCTGCACCCTGTGCGTTCCTTACATCTGACCTCTGCATGTTACTTCCTTAGGGTTAGGGTTTTGCGTATAGTTGTTTGTAGAATTAGATATGAGACAGAAATAAAATTCTAGCTCTAGAAGCTGTAAATTCCTGGCTGCTGGGATTAAACGCTAGTCTTACAATAGGCAATGTATACAGTAAGTGGGGGCCTCACGTTTGAGTTTCGCCTAAGGCTTCACAAAGTCTAGAGCCGCCTCTGGGTCTGAATACGAATTTTCGTTACGGCAACATGGTAGCCATATACAGTATATACATATAATAGTAAAGCTGAGGCTCCCAGACCCACATGGCATTCGGGAGCTGCCAAATGCAATTCAGGTTCCGAATGCCATTCGGTCTGGGAACCTCAGCTTTAGTAATATATGTATATGACTCCCAGATCTGAATGGCATTTGGGAGCTCTCGGATGCAATTTGGAAATTCGGATCCCGAATGCCATGCGGGTCTGGAAGCTTTAGTAATAATATCTGTATATGGTTTTCTGTGGTATTCGCTACAAATATTCGTAAACTCATTCGAAACGAACGAAAATTCAGATTTCGTCCGAATCCAAAACCCAAACCAAATTCGAACCGAATCCCGAAATAACAAAATTTTGGAACTGAACCAAATTTTTCTGCAGCTTACATTTCTACCAAAGACAGGCTACTGGGAGGGATAAGGAAAGACCTGGCGACCTTCCTTGTAAAAAATATTGAATTCTGTAGAAAATTCCACCGCACTCCCTACCGGTATGCCCCCAATGGATAGTTGCTAAAGTGACTATGGATGGAGCCACTGTGTCCTAGTAGATACACTATATAACCAGCACACCAAGGTTAAAGGAGAACTATGAGGGGCGTGCTTTTCAGTCACCTCATAGTTCTAGCTGACCTGTGACAATGAGACTGTCACAGGTTGGCTCAGTAGATCGGGAGGTGAGCGAACACATACCGGCGTTCGCTCACTTCTCGATCCTGTCACGGTAGAGAGCCGTGACAGGGGAGGGGCTGGATTCCCCCCTCCCCGCTCCGATCCGCCAGCGCTGACTGGCGGAACGGACGGGGGAGGGGGCGGGTACAGCTGGCTCTGCCTCTAGATAGGCAGAGGCAGCTGTCAGTCACGCAGCTGGGCGGATCCCGGCACAATTGTCGGGATCCGCTTCAGCTGCGGCGTCTGTGGTATACTGCCGCATCTAGGGTGCCCGGAGGACGCTAGTTTGTGTCCTCCCGTTACCCTAAGGAGAACTATGGGGAAAAGCCTTAATCCCATAGTTCTCCTTTAAATGTCCAAAATCGTCTTAATTGGCGTGCATACATCTTGCCATAAAAAGGCATCACAGGTGCCTGCCTCTCAAGGACCTCCCACTCGTTGAAAGGCAGAGACTTGAACTTGGATCCTCAGATTAAAAGCCTGATGCTCTACCCACTGTGCTATACAGACTACCTTTTTATAACAAGATGTATGCACATTCATAAAGACAATTTTGAACATTTGACCTTGGCATGCTGGTTGTATCTACTTGTACATAGTGGCGCTATCCCCTCTTCGATAGAAGGCCTCAGGGGCAGGGCCCTCCTTACCATTGTGTCTTGAATTGTGTTGTAATTGTCATGGCTTCCCTATTCTGTAAAGTGCTGCGCAAACTGTTGGTACTATATAAATCCTGTATAATAATAATAGTCACTTCAGCACCGATCCATTAGGGGCACAGTGGTAAGGAGTGCGGTGACATTTCTATAGAATTCTATATTTTTTACACGGTAGGTCACCAAGTCTTTCTGTATTCCTCCCCATTGACACAGGCTGGGGATAATCATTCAACAACACATGTGCATAGCCTTGCAGTGCTACTACCGTGTAAAAAAAACTCTCCGAGAATATTCTATGGAAAAGAGTCTCAAGCATATCAGAGATGCCCCTAGAATTGCCAAGAGTTGGATATAACTGAATGGATACCATGCACACAGCCTCACCGTTCTAGAGGAGCAGCAACACACCAGAAGCCCAAGCTCACCCATGGCAGCTTAATAGCCTCCAAAATAAAAATAAGGTTATAAAAAAATAAACATAAGATTACCGTATATACTCGAGTATAAGCCGTCCCGAATATAAGCCGAGGTACCTAATTTTAGCCAAAAAAACTGGGAAAAAGTATTGACCCGAATATAAGCCGAGGGTGGGAAATGAGGCAGCTACTGGTAGATAGATACCAATAAAATTACATTAATATTTATTTAAAAGAAAAATAACCTAGCTCTGTAAGTGGAAAAGGGGGTACAGGGCTACATATCATGTACTACGGATCATTTAACCCATTCATATTAGCAGAGGATAATTGTAAATCTATTGTTCAGTGCACTCTATATGTAGTATATAGTACATGTACATATAGAGTGCCTGCAACAATACATTTACAATGATCCTCTGCTAACATGAATGGGTTAAATGATCCATAGTACAGGGCTACATACAGATCATTTAATACATTCATGTTAGTATAATTGTAAATGTATTGTCTGCACTGTATTAGCAGTATATACTCTATATAGAGTATATACTGCTAATACAGTGCAGACAATACATTTACAATTATACTAACATGAATGTATTAAATGATCTGTATGTAGCCCTGTACTATGGATCATTTAACCCATTCATGTTAGCAGAGGATCATTGTAAATGTATTGTTGCAGGCACTCTATATGTACATGTACTATATACTACATATAGAGTGCACTGAACAATAGATTTACAATTATCCTCTGCTAATATGAATGGGTTAAATGATCCGTAGTACATGATATGTAGCCCTGTACCCCCTTTTCCACTTACAGAGCTAGGTTATTTTTCTTTTAAATAAATATTAATGTAATTTTATTGGTATCTATCTACCAGTAGCTGCCTCATTTCCCACCCTCGGCTTATATTCGGGTCAATACTTTTTCCCAGTTTTTTTGGCTAAAATTAGGTACCTCGGCTTATATTCGGGACGGCTTATACTCGAGTATATACGGTATTTATTTCAAATTAATCTCTTTTACGATACAAACAATGAAAAGACTATTCAGGCCTTTTAATCTATACTTGTTATTGATTCAGTCTCCATACCTTGGTAAAAATCTATACTCTTGTTTTTGAACCAGCCACGGGAGAAACAGCTATCATAGCGAGAGCCATGTTGGAGTTCGCTACGCTGACCTGCATTCGTTTTGTCCCACGCACCTCCGAAACAGATTTCCTGAACATCATCAGCGATTTTGGGTGAGCATGTTGTTGGTGAACAGACAGTAAGGGACAGGTTCCCCGTGCAGTTGGGGCTTCTCTTGACACTCATGGTTCTTGCTCAACATATTGTACTAATATATGGGCTCATGACCTCCTCACTCTTTGATTAATGGGATTCCTTGTTTATATGATTTATAGAGAAAGGGTGTTAGGGTGACACCCCTTGGCAGGTGACACAGGCTTTCCTGAGGGGCGGAGTCTAACTACCAGCCGGTGTTCACCAGAGCTCCTGATGGTGTAGATGGGCTTGGCTGCTTGCTGGTAACAGGTCGTGATCCCCAGGGTTGCCCTGCCAAGGGATGGATGAGAACAGGAGGGCTCCAATGAGGAGACAGTAGTCAGATCCAGGCAGTGTTCAAGGCAGGCGGCTAGCAGAGGGTGGTCAGACGGTCCCAGGTCAGCAACGAGTAATCAGAGGATAGTCGCAGGAGACAAGAGCAAAGGACCAGGGAGAAGATCAGGGCGGGCAGCAAGTGAAGGAGAGTCAGGAGGTCCGGGTCAGAAACGAGAAAACAGCAGAAGTATAAGCTCTTTAAACAAACAGGAAGCTGGCAAATAGACACAGCACAGCTCCTTGCAGAGCTAGAGCTTAAATACCCTTCTGAGTCAGAGATGACACGCCCAGCCTCAGGGTACACTGGAAGTCCTAGTCTGGAATCTTTTACTATTACCAGCCATACTGGCCTGGACTCTGCGAGATCCATTAATAGCGGGTCTTCTGGAAATCCTGGCTGGGATTCTCAGAGTAGAAAGATAAACCCTGAGAGGTACTCTGAGCTTACCATACCAAAGGGAATTGCCACCTCTTTGACATATTCCAGTGTAGAAGTAGTATATGTGCTTATCAGGTAAATCCAGGCCTAATGCTTCAATTTCCAATTGTCCTACCAGAACTGGTTGATCATTCACTAAAGAGCTACAGAGAGTAAAGCTGAACTGCCCAGTAATCCACGAAAGCCAATCAGAGTTCAGTTTCCTGAAAAACTTATTCTATTTGGTTGCTTTACATTTGCTTCATAGTTTGAAGTACCATCTGTGTATTTGGATTGTAATTTTGATTTTGGTTTTTGTTTGTACCAGCTGCTGGTCATTTATGGGACGTTCCGGAGGTGGTCAGGAGGTATCTCTGGATAGAGGCGGTTGTGTTTTACACGGGGTCGTCCAACATGAGCTAAACCATGCCGTGGGCTTCGAGCATGAGCACAGCCGAAGTGACCGCGACTCATACATCAAGGTCCTTTGGGAGAACGTTATTCCCAGTAAGACTTTAACAGCAGACTAATTAAAACAGTCATAAGATGAAGAAGACTTATTATGTGCATGCAAATGTCAGTTTGTTGTCTTTAAAGGAGAACTATGGGGTTAGGGCTTTTCCCCATAGTTCTCCTAAGGGTAATGGGAGGACACAAACTAGAGTCCTCCCGTCACCCAAAGCTCAGTATACCGCGAGCTACAACTCGCGGCATACTGAGCCGCCGCATCTGAAACGGATCCCGACAATTATGTCTGGATCCGCCCAGCTGCGTGAGTGACAGCTGGCTCTGACTATCTAGAGGCAGAGCCAGCTGTACCCGCCCCCTCCCCCATCCGTTCCTCCAGTCAGCGCAGGAGGATCGGACAGGGGAGGGGGGAATCCAGTCCCTTCCCTGTCACAGCTCTCTGCACGGATAGATCGAGAAGTGAGCGAGCGCCTGTATGTGTTCGCTCACTTCCCGATCTACTGAGCCGACCTGTGACAGTTTCATTGTCACAGGTCGGCTACAACTATGAGGATGAGTTAAAATCACTCACCTCATAGTTCTCCTTTAATGTCAGCCACAGCCTGAGTAGAAAAGCCTGTTCCCTGCCAGCATGCTGTAGAGTGGGACCTTTGCTCTCTGTAGGGAAGAAATGGTCTCCTTGCAGAGGTCGAACATGGTGCCAGCAGAGCCAGAGCTTTCAGCTCTGTTAGCCCAGTCAACAAGGAGCATGCCAGACCTTGCAGGGAGACCACTGCTTCCACACAAGGGTGCATGCATGGCGGCAGAGGACAGACCTTTCTACTCACATTGTGGCTGCTTTAGAAATAGGGCAAACTGGAGGTCATTGCACAAAGGCTTTAAGGGAATTGCTCATTTTATTAAAATAGCCATGGATTAAAAAAAAAAAAAGATTTAAAGAGATCCTGTCACAAGAGAAACATTCTCATTGCTGAGCTGTCCTTCTGAAAATGGGACTTTTCTGGAAGACATGTGCGATGCGTTTCATTCCGAATCACAATTTATACGAATTTTCCAAAACCCAATGCATCCAATTGTGTTCGAATCCGAATTTCCGTTTATGAATTTCGGATCCGGTCCAAATTTCGTTCAAAACTAAACTGAATCTGAAATGTGACTTTTCTGGCCAATGCATCCGAATGGGTTTGAACACGAATTTTCGTTACGGCAACATGGGAGCCATATACATTACTAAAGCTGAGGCTCCCAGACCCGAATGGCATTTGGGAGCTCCTGAATACCATTCGGATCCCGAATGCCATTCGTGTCTAGGAGATACAGCTTTAGTATTAATATCTGTATATTGTTTTCTGTGGTATTCGCAACGAATATTTGTAAACTCATCGGAAACTAACGAAAATTCAGATTTCCTCCGAACCCCGAACCGAATTGAATTTCGGATCCGAATCCCAAATTCCAAAACTGCAAAATATCTGAACCGAACCGAATTTTTCCGCAGCTCACATGTCTATTTTCTGACTGTCTGTGTCTTCATTACCCTCTATGTCACTGACCCAGAACGAGTATGCAGATCAGGAGATGTTACCATACCTGGCACATGTTGATTCTTAGCTGGTGATCTCACAGACCAATGTCAGCGACAGGAACCATCATGCTTCTTTAATGATAAGCTTACTTTAAAAAAAAAAATCTTACAAGCATCAGTAACATTTTCTTTTTCTTGCAGTGTACAACTCAAGTTTAGCTAAAAGCAACACCAACAACCTAAACATGGAATACGATTACACCTCCGTAATGCATTACGGGAAGTAAGTATGCAATACATAGTAGACATGACTTTGTTATTTAAAAAAGAGTCTACCCCTCCACTGTAAGTGCTCGTTTCATCTAAGAGACTCTAATAAGGCTGCGTTAGTCAACTGATCCTCAGCTCTGCTGTAGTCGGCGCTCACTTCTTTTCCCCTCTGCTCTGGCCAGGGCCGTCTTTAATATTGATTGGCCCCTGGGCAAACATTTTCTTGGGCGCCCCACTCCCGACCCATCCCATTCCCCTAACCAACCTCCCCACCACAAAACACCCCCTACCCGCCCCGCCATGCAATTTCGCCCATGGATACGCCTATACGACAGGGGCAGAGCAACACTATGCAATACCGATCACACAGTAAACAGAAGAGTATCTTTTGCGGACTCAAGAACAGGACTGGTGCAAGGATTATTGTGTACACAGGTGAAGGTGCATTTTCACCCCCTCTTCCCCCTGGTGTACTCAGACGACTGACTATGCAGCCTTATGCTAGCATTGACTAAGGTTTATTGTCCCCCATCATACGTACATGGAAAGCATGTAGTGACCCCATCACATACAGACAAGCAGCATGTAGTGACCCCTCTCTCTGGATGTTCAGTGTTCCCTAATACACACATGCAGCAGCCAGTACAGACACTCAGGGTCTCCCCACCAGACACCCACTGTTCATGCTGCCCTGATTTAGGCTGTAGTCCCTTCACCTGGCAGACTCCCTATCCCCCATCCAGGTGCAAAGGCCACCTTTGGCAGCTGCCCTTTGTGCCCCACAACAATGACTGGGCCCTGGGCAGCTGCCCCTTTTGCCATGCGTTAAAGACAGCCCTGGCTCTGGCTATGCAATGTTCCTTGCGTCCTCATGTCTAATGCAAGTCAATGGACCTTAGACCGCTGGAGCTCAGAGGAAAAAAGGCTGGGGGCACCGGTCTAGCAGCCTGGAGGGAGCCGGTGCCACCGAGGACCAGTTGACTATATCTTCTTTATTTGAGTCCCCTAGACACAACGTGCACTTTACCCTTGCAGTGCAGGAGTAGCCCCACTGCAAGGGTAAGCTTTTTTTATTTGCCTGGAGTTCTTCTTTAATGCACAGATTATCTTTAATTGGATTTTTTGTGATTGTAGAATTGTAACACTTATCATTTAGTTTACTGTTAATTGATACAATTGTATCCAGATTCTGATGTCTCTTCAGGCCAGGAATGCAGCTCCTGGTCACATGGTTTAGTGCTATGTAACCCTAACCATGTGGTGGAAACGATGCAAAGTGCTCAGAGAGAGGGCGGTGCTGGGAACCTGGGAACACACCAGCTTGCGTTTCCACAGCGTCAGCAGTTTTTATTTATAGAAATACACACATTTCTGTTTTTCTTGTGTATTAGAAAAAAAGAAGTAGGAGGAGCAGATATAAATACCTAAAAATAAGCAATTATTTAATTTAGTTGTCTGAGGTTAATCTTCATCATCTGATGTTTTGCTGTTATATTAACACATTTTTATATAATACAAAATTGAATACAAGGTGCTTCAATGACACTCCATTTGCTAGGCATGCTGGGCTTTCTGGTAAGGCAGCCCAGAACTCATTTCCTGCAGGGTTGTTGGCAGCCTGTGTACTCTAACTTATTTGAACATCCCATCTAGCAGAAAGGGAAGGTAGGTGTCCCTCCTCTATTTAGTAGTACGTGAACTTTTTGTTGGATAGAGCGGGAAGGTATCGAAATTTGTATTGCTTCCTGTGCCCCCAATAGAGAGATTCACCGTTTCTGTTTGTCCTGGTGACCGTTATCACAGAAAGTGAAAGAGAAAGAAAATCCCAAATTGTGGATGGTCACTAGTACAGGAATAGATAGCAAATCTTCCTATTGGGACACTAGTTCTGGTGACCCTGCTGACCATCAGGGATTTCCCTCTCTTTGGAAGGATTTCCTCTCACTTCCTGTTGTGGCTATCAGACAGTAAATTAAGGAAAATCTCCCCAATTGATCACAGATGGCAAAAAAAGTTGATAAAAAGTGTGATAACCCTCCCTTACTCTATACAAAACTCAGTCCTACTTTAAGCTCATCGACTAGAGCTCTCTGTAGCTTTAAAGGTCATAGAGAACGTACAAATGTATTGAGTCTTGTAACCTCCCATCAAAATAGGATACATTTTTCTGAATGTAACACAACCTCCATCCTATTTGTCTGTTCCTGTCTACAGATTTGCATTCACCAATTACTACGTCAAACAGTCCATTCAGCCCATCCCTAACAACAACATCAACATTGGACAGAGAATAGGATTGAGCAACCTGGATGTCGCCAAGATCAACAGACTCTACAGCTGCAGTAAGTGTGTCCGAAATGTCAGAGTGCTTGTAAAAGGAAACTGTATTAGCTTTGGATCAATGGATCAGATGGGTCATTTTAGCAAATGTAAGCTGGTTCAAAGTGGCCGACCACCTGAAACCTACTTATAGTCAACATAAGGCTTTGGGTCAAATCCATCACTAGTGCATACCTCCCAACTTCCTAAGATGAGAAAGAGGAACACCTTCCAGCAAAATGTATTTAGGCAATGGACATATCCCTGCCATGCCCTCAGTTATGTGAACCATTAAGAATCTATATGCCAAAAATAATTGGTTAAGCCCAGGTTATTATTTTTTTTTACCATTATATTTCCTTTGTTCTGGCTTTTCGAAATATGGAACAAGGTAATTAAGAGATAAGATGAAGGTTTTATTGCAGAATAACACTTTTGGTAGTTGAATAGAACCTTTGCATGGTCGTTTTCATGGATATCTGTACGTCAGACCAAAAAGAGGGACAACTGGGGAAGAAAGAGGGATAGAGGGGTTTGGATTGGACTATCTATGAATAGTGACAGTATGATCCCAATGCATGATCCCATGATCCTGTGCACCTGACGTTAGCTCTTCTAGAATGGAGACATTTAAAATCCTCCCTAGTGGGGCCCTCTCCCCACCCTCCAACCCCATAGCACTCAAGTGATCTACTATGGCTATAGTTATGCCACTGTTAGGAGACCTCACACCCTCAGAAACTAGGGAAAAACAATAAATAGGTTATATTGGGAGTCCTAAACAGCTTTACTGTAGAAACTATAGCACAGGCTTTTGTTTAGACATTTTTGTTTTGTTATGTATCAATCTATCTGTCTCACCTTGTTCATAACCTGGTTCTTCCTTCATTTCTCCCCAGACGTCTGCTCCTCTGTATTGTCCACTGACACAGGTGTCTTCTTCTCTGCTTCCAACCCTTCAAATTACCCAAACAACTACAACTGCACCTGGCTCATCCGCCTGCCAAACAGCCAGGTAATAATTCTTATTCTACACAGGACAACGCTGCTCTATATGTCCAGGTGAGCATTGTCTAAAATGGGAAATCCAAAATGTTAGAGCTGCCGAGAGTACCCGGAGGAGAGGAAAGACCTTTAACCCCTTTGTGACTGACGACGTACAGTGTACGTCGCCAGCATCAGGGCTGTTTAAACAGACTCCCGGCGACTTTTGCCTATCTCTAAATTGATGACCTGTGGGGGCTTTTAAAGTGTCTTTTATTGACTTTTTGGGGTACTGCAGTTTTTCGCCGTTTCACGGTCGCACGCAATCTGTAAACTGGGCATGTTGGGTATCGTTTTACTCGTTGTAACCTCATCTTTTATATTTCATTAAAAAATGGGTAATTTGTTGTGTTTTGGGGCATTTAATTAAATTTGTCACAAAATTTTGGGGTTTAATAAGGAGTTGCGCTAATATTGCGCAACATAAAAATTTTCAACTACCACCATTTTATTCTATAGGGTCTTGGCATTCAGAAAATATATAATGTTGGGGGATTTTACGTCATTTTCAGGCCTAAAATGTGGAATATAACATGGGTGCAAAAATGGACAAAAGGGCCTCAGTCATGAAGGGGTTAAATGGGGACACATATTATTATGACAACTGTGTAAGATGGTGTTTACATTCACACTCATTTGGAGAGATATCTACAAACTTCCTGTTGTATTTCTGGGACAGGAGGTGAAAGAAAACCTCCCCAATGGACACCAGTAGCAAAAAGTTTTTTTTTTTTTTTAAATACAGTTTTTTATCCTTTCCTACCCTATCAAGAACAAAAAGAAAAATGTTTTGGCTATAGATACACTTTGGGGTTGATTTATAACCCTTTTGCCCAGTATATAGCTAGCCAGATGGTTTGATGGTTATTTTGTATTCCTTCCAATTGCCAATAATCGCTCAAACAGTTGTTTCCTTCTCACCAAGCTTCTTGCTGATAGTCTTGTAGCCCATTCCAGCCTTATGCAGGTCCACAATCTTGTCCCTAATGTAATTTGACAACTCCTTGGTGAGGTTTGAATGGAAGAAAGAGATTCTGTGGACAGGTATCTTTTTTTTAATACATAACAAGTTGTCATTAGGAGCACCTTCTTAAAGTGACAGGACTAATCTGTGTACCACATAGCCAGTCTGTGGGGGCCAGAATTATTGTTGGTTGGTAGGGGATCAAATACTTATTTTACTCACTGAACTGCAACTCAATTTGTAACATTTGTATAATGTTTTTTTTCTGGATTTTTGGCTGATATTCTGTCTCTATCATTTAAAAAAACGTATAGACCTTTCATTTCTTTGTAAGTGGGCAAACTTTCAAAATCTGCAGGGGATCAAATCATTATTTTCCACACTTAAATACAAGAGACAATACATTTCATATTTTCCTCAGGCTAGAGCTACATGGCCAATCTTTGCTGCCAATGAATCCCCAACCATAATATCAATTGGTAAACTGATAGAAGAAATGATATCTTACACAAGAGGTAGAAAATGATTCATTTCATGTGACAGCACAATGTTCTCATTGTGTGAATAATCATTGCTACTGTACATCCTACTACATACACTACATAGCTAAAGGTTTGTGAACACCTAACCAAATGATTCATTTCAGGCATTTCCAGTGAAGTGTACTGTTAATACTCCAGCATACAAAGACATTTAAGGCAACTGTGCGTGTCCAACCTTGTGGAAGTTGGTGAAGGCCCTTTTCTGTTCCAGCATGACTGCGCCCCTATGCACAAAGCCAGTAACATAAAGACATGGTTTAATGAGTTTGGTGTGGAAGAACTTGAGTGACCCTTTGGGATTCATTGAAACAAAATTAAAAAATTGTAAGCCAGATCTTCTCATCCAACATCAGTACCTGACCTCACAAATGTTCTTTTGGTTAAAGGGCATAAACCAGACATCAAAATCTTGTGGAAAGCCTTCCCTGAAGGGTCCAGGCTGTTATTACCACAAAGGAGGGGAACAAATGCATATTAATGCCCATGCTTTTGGAATGGGATGTCCAAAAAGCTCATATAGGTGTCATGGTCAAATGTCACCAAGCGTTCAGCCATGAAGTGCATTACATGTGTAGCTTATAGATAGATATTTATTTCATCAGTTGCCATAGATCAAGCTACTAAAAATCACCCGCGTAGCTCTAGTGTGATTTGGGCAATATAATCTCTTTAACCAGTTTGTTGAGTGCTAACATTTTACATGTGCTAAATGGATTTTTGTACTTAGCACTTTTGTGTATTATTAATTTAAAAGAAAAGCATCAAGATCCATAAATATACTTTTAAATCTCTTTTTAGGCACTCTTGCAATTTAAAGCATTTGATGTGCAGAGCTCTACTGGGTGCACAGCGGATTATATCAGGGTGTTTGATGGTCCCAGCAGAACATCTCCATTGCTGCTGGACAAGTCCTGCGGCTCTGGACAAATGCCCTCCCTGGTGTCTTCTGGTTCCGTGATGCTGGTGGAATTTGTCACCGATGGGTCAACTACGGCCACTGGATTCAAAGCCTCATACAGCACAGGTAACAGAATGAATGTATAAGTAAACATTTTAAAAACAGTGCCAATGGAGTCTAGAAGGGGAGGGTCAGGATCCTTTGGCTTAAAGGAGCATTATGAGGTGAGTGATTTATAGGGGATGGGAAAAGAAGTGAGCGCCGACTACCGCAGAGCTGAGGATCAGTAATGCAACCTTATTTGAGTCTCTTAGACAAAATGAGCACTTGCAGTGCAGGGGCAGTCACTTTTTTAAATAACAAAGTAATGTCTACTATGTATTGCATACTTACTTCCCATAATGCATTACAGAGGTGTAATCGTATTCCATGTTTAGGTTGTTGGTGTTGCTTTTAGCTAAACTTGAGTTGTACACTGCAAGGAAAAAAAAAATGTTACTGATGCTTGTAAGATTTTTTTTTAATAAGCTTATTTTTAAAGGAGAATTATGAGGCGAGTGATTTTCACTCAGCCTCATAATCTGAGCCAACCTGTGACAATGAAACTGTCACAGGTCGGCTAAGTAGATCGGGAAGTGAGCGAACACATACCGGTGCTCGCTCACTTCTCGATCCTGTGCCGGCAACGAGCCGTGACAGGGGAGGGACTGGATTCCCCCCTCCCCTGTCCGATCATCCAGCGCTGACTGGCGGAACGGACGGGGGAGGGGCGGGTACAGCTGGCTCTGCCTCAAGATAGACAGAGCCAGCTGTCACTCACGCAGCTGGTTGAATTCAGACATAATTGTCGGGATCCGTGCCGGCTACGGCATCTCAATATACAGCGAGCTGTAGCTCGCGGTATACTGAGCTTTGGGTGACGGGAGGACGCTAGTTTGTGTCCTCCCATTACCCTTAGGAGAACTATGGGGAAAAGCCTTAACCCCATAGTTCTCCTTTAAACAGGAAAACACAACCTGCTGGACCTTCAGCATTTGGTCACAGGACATCTCAGAGCCACAATGGAAGTTTGTGTTAGAACACTTCCCTCTACCAGACAGTAATGTGTGGTAGTTTTGAACTAACAGTAGCCAGGATTGACTACTTCAAGACTATTTTTTTCTTGGGATGAACCTGTTTGTCTGAGGTTGTGTGTGAGGACCATATATGTGTCCTCAGCTGCTGGACTCCTGAGAACAATGGCAACACCATTCAACATCTGATCACTCAATGGCTGTATGGTGAGAAGCACCTAATGCAAATAGTCAAGTTTTTGGGGGGATGCAGACATCTCCTTCAGAGCTTAGGCAGAGTACAACGGAAGGTTCAGGCTGCACACATTGTTAAAGCTGATATGCAGCGAAGAGGAGATTAATGCATAGTGCCCCGTGCCAGCATTAATGGATATAAAGTCAAGTCCTCCCTTGTGGCATTGATTTACCTTTAGTATATGTAGGAGCATCTCAGCAGTTCCTCAGCATCTGCCTGTGCTGTACACTTTGAATTAAGAAGCCAATCAACAGCTACTCAGCTTTTATTGTTTGAATAAAATTCTTCATATTAGAGAAAAACTGTATTGGTGGAGAAACATAGGTCCTGTCATTGCGAAGCTTACCACCTGCAAAATGCTAATTCTGACTGGCATGCTGAGCTTCTGACTTGTATGCACGTAAGGGCATTTGACATTTCTTTTGCTCTTTTGATCTGCATACAGGGATGGATTTCCCACAAGGCCAACCAAGGCCTGGCCTCGGGGCAGCAGGGAGTAGAGGGACAGCAGGGGTGTGGAATTCCTATCTCCTGATGCTCGGGACATGCAGTTCCGAGCGCCGGGCGGGTAGTTGTTTTCTACATTTAGCCCGGCTTTGGGCAAGCAGAGCTAAATGTACAGCGGGGAAGCCGCCGCTTGTTTTGTAAAAGTGAACTCCGCTATTTTGCCAAGATCACTTGTATGCAGCCAGCAGTTCTGCCATTCTCCATGGTGGGGGGCGCATTAAGGAACATGGCTTTGGGGCAGCAGAGAGAGTAAATCCGGCCCTGTCTGCATACTTGCCCTGTTCAGTGGCTCAGAATGCACTGAAGCCAAGTTATTGCCATCAACTAGCATTGTCAGGAAGTCAGAAATGGAAGCTTACATACTGTTCTAATAACAGGTTTACTTTAAGGAGCCATCGTTGACCTTTTTCTGAAAATAGTTACTAGGCTGTCTCTACTTTTAGTGCTTTATGAAAATGACACATTTTTTTGCTCTCATTCTCTTTAGTAAATTGCGGTGGGACTTTTGTTGCCAGCACTGGGTCCGTATTTAGCCCTGGAAATGATAAGCAGCAAAATTACCCTCCTTATAGTGACTGCACTTGGACAATCATCGCACCGTTGGGATACAAAGTAAGAAAAGCTTCATTTTATATCACCATTGAAAGCCTCATGTTATATCTGTTGATAAGTTTAAAAAAAACTGTTGATCAGAACTTGTCAAACATTCCAAGCTGTCCTGCACCCTGTGCACACTTCCTATGTTGTCTAAGGGAGGCTTATTATCCCTCCTTGTTCTTATCTTGGCCTACATAATGATTGGCCTTTATGTTGTAGAGATCTGAGTGACAGTGGATGTATAGTTTATCCCTGTCAGGATTCTTTTTTGAAATCTATGCCCCATTGGGGAGATTTCTCTTTACTACCTGTTCTGTAGACACAACAGAAAGTGGCACTTTCAATGCACAATACACAGGCATGGTCCACTTTGGGCTCCATCAGACAACCCACCCTGACAAATGCCATGCATCCTATATGAGTGCATATAAAAAGGCTGCAGGAAACGAGCAGCACAAATGTTAAAAATAAGTGAATACGGTATGATACACAGTGCTTTAGCAAACAAATTGCCAATCAGTTGTGGTTTTAAATCTATTTTTATACAATAATACATGCTCTGAATTTCAGGTCCAGCTGGTCTTCACTAGTTTCAGCCTAGAGCCCAGTAAGCCATGTTCTTATGACTGGCTGGAGATCAGAGATGGGATTTTGTCCACTTCCCCCATCATTGGATCAACACATTGCGGCATAGAAAGCATCCAGCCAATCACTTCCACCAAAAACGGCCTTCTCCTGCATTTCGTGAGTGACTATTCTCACGAGAGTTCTGGATTCATGGCAAAGTACTCCTTCGGTAAGTTGATCCAACCTTTGTAAATGTGAATTTGGATACGGAAAGCATACACACAGGGCCGGATTTACTCTCTCTGCTGCCCCAAGGCCTGGTTCCTCAATGTGCCCCCCAATCCGCCAAACCCCAATGGAGAATGGAAGACCGGCAGTCTGCATACAAGTGATCTCGGCGATATCACCGAGATCACTTGTACAAAACAAGCAGCAGCTTCCCCTCTGTACTTTTAGCTCTGCTTGCCCAAAGCAGGGCTAACTGTAGAAAACAACTACCCACTCGGCGCCCGGAACTGCATGTCCCGTGTGTCGGGAGATAGGTATTCCACACCCCTGCTGCCCCTCTACTCCCTGCTGCCCTGAGACCTGGCCTTGTGGGAAATCCTGCCCTGCATACACATCTCCTATTAGGTCTTATAAAAGATGAAAAATCTTCATTGTAATCACTCCTGGAAAGGTCAGGAGCATCAGTACATACAATATACTACATAACCAAAAGTATATGGACATCCGACCATTACACTTATATGAGCTTGATTGACAGCCAATTCCAGAACCATGGACATTAATATGGAGTTGGCCCTCCATTGCTGCTACGCCAGCCTACAATCTTCTTGGAAGGCTTTCCACAAGTCTTTGCAGCATGTGTGTGGGATTTTAGGCTCATTAGGTCAAAAAAAGCATTTGTGAGCTCAGGTGCTATTGTTGGGCAAAAAGACCTGGCTCACAATGGGCCTTCTAATTAATCCCAAAGGTGTTCACTAGGGTTGAGGTCAGGGCTCTGTGAAAGCCACTGAAGTTCCTCCACACCAAATTCATCAAACCATGTCTATCACAGAAGAGGGTCTCCTCCAAATTGTTTGGAAGAGCACAGTTGTCCAAAATGTCTTTGTACTGTGTAGCATTAACAGCGGCTTTCATTGGAAACTCCTGAATTTAATAATTGTATGGGGTGTCCACATGCTTTTGGCCATAATGGTAAATGTGATGGACAGGTGTCTTGAAACCTTTGGCCATATACCATGTTTCCCCGAAAATAAGACACTGTCTTATATTTTTTTTGGCTCAAAAAAACACACTAGGTCTTATTTTCAGGGTAGATCTTATTTTTTTGTTTATTTTTTTGAATGTACAGTACAACAATCCGCACGTATTCATGTAGAAAGTCTACATGTATTCATGTACAAAAATATGATGATCAGTGCAATTAGGGGTGCCATACCTTTCCAAGAGCAATGTGATAACCAATCGCTGGCCAGAATGAGCGAAGAGCACTTTCACTATGGATTCCTCACAGGCGGAGTGCATTTGGTATCACTCCGCATGTGACAGGAGCCGGCACTATAGAGGAGGCATCGGCTTATGCGGCTCTGCTCCCTCCGGTGCCGCCTCCTCTAGCGCTAGCTTGGTTGGCACCGCTGATTCTCTCCCGTGGCTCTTCAAGTTCCCCCTTATGCCACCACCGGCCCTGGGAAGGGTCACAACTAGGTCTTATTTTCGGGGTAGGTCTTATATTTTAGCAATTCCCAAAAATAGTACTAGGTCTTATTTTCAGGGAAACAGGGTAATAGGGGATTTTCTACAACTATTGTCACATTGTGTTGCCTCTGCAGATTAGGGGGTGATTTTGTCAGGTCAGAGCCTTTGGTACTCTCATATTTTAGATTGTTAAATATTAGGAGTTATGTTACTCCCTCTGGTTGGATTATTTGACAGTCACTCCACATAATTTTATATTTCAATTTCTGAGGGATGCTGGTGAGTCACGCCACATAACCTTCTCTTTTATCTGATGTCTGTATGCCTGCTGCAGCAATGGCCTTCTGTGTCTAAAGCAGGGTTGGGCAACTCCGGCGCTCCAGCAGCGGTTGTGGAAGTACAAGGCATGAGGCATTGCAAGACTCTTGACAGCCTCGTGACTTCCAGAAGCAGAGGGATTATGGGATTTGTAGTTAAAGCACAGCTGGAGGGCTGGAGTTGCCCACCCCTGGTCTAAAGGGTCAGTCCACCCAAAGCTGACATTTCACTGTCTGATAGATGCTGAAGAATTAGGTCACCTGACTATTTGGGAGAGTCATGTAGTTCACATACCTGCTGTTCCCATTGTGAGGGGTTCCCACATTCCCTGCTGGGTTTTTATGTGTTTTATATTATGAAGACTGTAACAGGAGGAGCTAGGACACATAAAGGTGGGCAGGAACACCCAAAACTCCCATGTGTACAAGAACAGGACCGAGATTTAAGGGAGATTTCACTGATAGAGTATCCAAGACATACTGTATAAGCTACTTGAACCATTATTATTATTATTATACAGGATTTATATAGCGCCAACAGTGTGCGCAGCGCTTTACAATATAAGGAAGACATTACAATCACAATACAATTCATGACAAGATGGTAAGGAGGGCCCTGCCCCTGAGGGTGTACAATCTACAAGGGAGGGGCCAGTGAAACATGAGGAGGTAGCTGTGTGGGGATGAATTGTTTGAGAACGTGATCTGCTGACCTTTTAATGATGATGTGTAAGTCACAGTTCATTTTACTGGAACCTGGACAGATAAGATGTAACTTTTCAACAGGTTGTAGAATTCACATCCTCACTGTTTTTTTCCAATGTCTTACTGGGCAAGATCTGATCAGTGTTAAGATATCTCCTAATTGTGAACTTTCACTTTTTTTCAGTTCCCTCTGGATAAGTTCAGGACCACTGCGAACTTGGGACCTTTAGTAGAAAACAATAGCCACAAAATGAACAAATGACTGTAAAATTGTTACCAGTGCCGACCAATCAGGAACACCGACCATTCATCGCAAACATCTGGAATAAAAATCAAGCCTATAACTGCAGAGTCACACCAGAGTCACACCAGAGTCACACCAGAGTCACATGGTCTCTCCCAAGACATCTAGAGTGGATCTGGCAATAATCACATGAACAATTCCTTGGCATTGGTCACATGGCAGGGCGCCAGAACAACGCAGAACCAATGTTATTAAAGTGTATGCAAAGCGAAAACTTTTTTTAGTTTTGGAAAGAGTAGATAATGTTGCTGATAATTTTTGTCTATATCCTGTTAGGGAGAGTTGATGTCATTTCCTGCACCATAGACAAAACAGGAAGTAAGGAAATATTTTCAAAGTGAGGTAAATTCTCCTGTAACAGTAGTCACTGGTAGAGGTATACCCCCCTCACCCCCTGTTCCAGTGACAACGCCTACATTTTTATTGTTGAGGTTAGGACTGCCTAACCTGGTAATTCATATAAAATGTATTTGAGTAAGGGGTATTTGCACCCCTACCCATTCACTAAAGGGTTAAATAAAATAGTTATTAACAAATCCAGACTTTTGATAAAATCCTTTAATTAAAAAAATTAATAAAAAAGAAATGGCTCCAGCGATGCTCCATTGAGGTGACAATAATGTTGTCCGGTCCTTTTTTGGAGTTTTGCGTGGAATGTGTCAGGTTTGGCTTTTTTTTCTCTCCACTTTTTTTGCGTCATACCAATAAAAACAAAAGAAATAAACATGAGAACGCCAACACATTTATAATTGCAACAATTTTCTTCTTCAACTGGTTTGGAGAAGCAGCCTATAAAAGGTGAGTGATACCATGAAAACCTGAATGCTTTTATCTAATAAATCCTATCTAGCATCAGATACATTTGTTCATGTTAGGTGTAGGTACGCTCAATGACAAACAAGTGTAGCACTTACAGGTGTTTAAAAACCTCTAGCAGAGATCACCGTGCATATCCCTGACAGTGCCACCTGATTTTCTCTCCGGAAGGACGGAACCATCTTCATTCAGGCATCATTCTAAGCTGTAAAGTTATTCATGCAAATTTGTAAAGTTAAGGTGGCCATACACTTTACAACCGTCGCAAGACCTTAGTCTTGCGATGGTTGTAAAGTAATTTAAAAAAACGTGCGATTTGCCCATCTTGGACAGGCAGATCGTACTTGCACCCTGAGGGGCGGGCTTCCGATGACCGCAATGCTGAATGGGCAGTGTGCGCGTGCGCACACCGGCCCGTGCGGCATTAATCTTACCATCATGCTAAAAACCAGCCGAAAATCGTACGATTCTCTGCTGGTTTTCTAGCATGCTCCGTAGACAAAAGACGTGCGACCGTACATTAGAAACGGTCGCACGTCTTCATTCACACTGCACGATTCTCGTACGATCGCAGGATTTCCCTCGATTCTCGTACGAGAATCGTGCAGTGTATGGGCACCTTTAGAGGAAGCTGCATGTTAAGATGGAATTGCACTACCAATATAATCCACTGAGCGTCAGTATATTTCCAGGAACAAAGCTTTTATTCCAGTGAACACACACAGCCAACTGTAACAATTTGCCTCATAGCTATGTAAATTGCTTAATATTTTGTTAAGCAATATAAACATTGCGTGCCCAAACATAAACTTCGCAGTTTGTTGTCACGCTAACTGACTTATTCTGGGGTCAGTGATATACATGAGTGTATATGTATGTATGTATGTGTGTATGAGTATGTGTGTGTGCGTATATGTGTGTGTTTATGTGTGTGCGTGTGTGTGTGTGTGTGTGTGTGTGTGTGTGTGTGTGTGTGTGTGTGTGTGTAAACCAAGCAAAGAGTAAGCTGTATACAAAAGTAATTAAATATTTATTGAAAATTCAAAAATAAACTAAATTACCCCTATACACACAAAATACATACAACATGCACATACATAATAATCATGCTGTACACGCATAGGAAGCATTAAAGGTTTTCAGCGCAAGCTACCATTTTGCATTCGTTCAATTCTCAGTGTTTTGCAAAGCGCACAATGTGTCATTGATTGACACTGTTTCAGTCATTGAGCTTCTAGGTGATATTTGATTGAAAGAAAAATGTAAAATCTACTCTTTGTTTCCTTTTAATTGGTGGATTGAAGGGGGGGGAGGGGGGAGGGTTGGAGAATGTGAATTAAGGCTTGTTTATTTTAATGTAATCAGCGTTCTCTGCATTTATGTTCTTGTATTTTTTTGCATCTATTTAATGATTACGGGGATCATATATAAAAGCTCCACCTGCATGTAGCAGGGCATATGTCATTTGCACAGCACTAGGGTCCCTAGATGGCACTGAAGAGTATTATCTAGGGCCCCTAGTGCCTTGAGAATGGCATCAGCCCAGCTATTCACCAGGCTGAGCTTTTATACAAGAACCTTTATTTGTGTACTGCTGGTTTAATTAATTAATTAAATATTTTTTTTAAATGTCACCTTGTAATTCAAAACATTAAATTAAAGGTTTTGTTTTTTGCACAAGAGCAGGTTCAGGATAGTTAAAGCAGAACTCCGCCCAAAAATTTTATTTACCCCCGCAGTGGGGCTACCCCCAGGGTCAAGTGCTTGTTTTGTTTTAAGTGCTGAAATAAAAAAAAATGATACTCACCCGATCCTCTAGCTTGCTCTTAGACCGGTCCTTCCAGCCTTTCTCCCTATCCGTCGCAGGATCCTCGAGTCATCACGTCCAATACACAGTGCATAGGATGAAATGTATACATTCAGTCGCTGCAGTGTAGGGGGAGAGAGGCTAGAGGGATAACTGTCACAGCCAGCTGGCTCTGTGGATCGGGTGAGCATAACTTTGTTATTTTCCTCCCTAGACCACAACGAGCAGTTAACCCTTGCAGTGCAGGGGTATCCCCACTGCAAGGGTTAAGTGCTTGTTTAAAAAATTATACCCACCCTATCCTCTAGCTTGCTCTTAGACCGGTCCTTCCAGCCTCTCTCCCTATTCGCTGCAGGATACTCATGTCATCGTGTCAAAAACACAGTGCATAGGATGAAATGTATACATGCCATCACTGCAGTGTAGGGGGAGAGAGGCTGTAGGGAGAGCTGTCACAGCCGGCTGGCTCAGAGTATCGGGTGAGTATAACTTTGTTATTGTCCTCCCTAGACCACAACGAGCAGTTAACCCTTGCAGTGCAGGGGTAGCCCCATTGCAAGGGTTAATAAACGTTTTGCCCTTCTTCTTTTTGCCCTTCTAAAGTTCTTCTTTAAAAGGAGCTTCAAAAACCTGTAACCCTTAAAAGCCCACTGCCCCCTTAAAACCCACCTTCATTTCATCTTCCCCATTGACTTCAATGCATTTCAACAAAATGTTGACTTATTTTTGCCAATTTTCCCTAAAATTTTGGAAAATTTAAATATCTCAATTTGTTCCTTAGCTTTGGTTACCATTTGCGTGTTTATCATGGGACGTTAAAAAAAAAAACCTGATATATCGCCATTTTTGTAATTCTATAGGTTCTGCACTCTCTCTCCCAAAAAAAAACCATGGCTTGGGAGAATCTTTTACGGATGTAACATGCTTGTGAAAACAAATTGCATGGTTGGTTCAGCCACCTAGAGAGCAAGCTGGCTGTGAAAGGGTTAAAGAGCTTGCGGATGCCATTAGTGTGAGCTGTGGGAGCGCTGATGTCTTTTATTTTGGGTGGGAATAAAGGATATTTCAGTTATAGTGGAGAGAGTGAGGATTCCAAGTACTGTGTCGGCAAAGCCTGTTATTTAATTCACGTAGTGGCATTTCCAGCAGAGCTTGAAGTTCAAAGCCTGAGGGAGAGAATAGAGAAGTGTACGCGTGAACGCCAACCAGCAGCCCCAATCTCAGCCAGTGACGTGTGCAGCAATCAAGTCTTCTTCCCTGGAGAGACTAAGAGCTCAGTGTTGAGCAGCAGCCGCAGCAGTAGAAGCCGGCTATCGTACATCGAGCTCCGATACTCTCCAGGAACTTGGAATCATCTCAACGTTCTGCCTTCGGAAAGGGGCAGGAATGAAGCTGGCGATGCCACGCTGAACATTCCAGCTGCAGGTTCCACCACTCCGAATCTCAAGATGATCGTTGCACCTTTAATAGCCATGGGGGCTACCCTGGGCACGGCTTCGGGTCTCATTGCCCTTTGCGGACTCGTGTGCCTGTGCAAGCACCTACAGAAGAAGAAGTCACCGGACAGCGGGGAAGGGACGCCGGTCACCATGGCCAGCGTTCTACAGCCGGGGCAAGTGGTATGTACAAGTTGTTTTGTGTCACCTGTGTTGGGTCATGGTTCGTGAGGGCATCACCCAGGGGTGGCTAAGCATGGCCTGCTGTGTTCTTCACCGCTCTGCACTGGGGACAATGTGTTAGCTGCTGTTCCTTGGCTGTCAACCTGGAACAATGGCTTCTGTAGCTTCTGACCTGGCACAAGTGTGCAGATCAAGGGCCCTAACTAACTTGCTGCAGGCTTGTAACAGGTCAGTGAGTGAGGAAGAACTGATGCCAGAGAGAGCCGGGCAACTCGAGTTTTGCAGCTCTGGCACGCTAAGCATGTTTCTCTGTGTAGGTTTCCATTAAAGCAGAACTGTGGGTACAACATTTTATCAACCCTTGAAGTGGGGCATCCCCTGCAGTGGAAGGGTTAACTGCTCGTTTTTGCCTAGGGTCAAAAATTTGAAAAAAGCTAGTCACCTGACCCTTTGAGCTGGTTAGACAGGTCCCTGGAGCCTTTCTCCCCCTCAGCTGCAGCGGTCTAAGGTCTCTGAGTCATCACACTCTATACAATGTATAGGATATGTGGACACTGAGGGACATACCATCGCTGTAGTGGAGGAAGGAGCTCTATCACAGCTGTCTGGTTCAGAGGACCGGGTGAGTATAAGTTTTTTTTTTTTTTTTACCCTAGGCAAAAAACGAGCCTTTAACCCTTGCAGTGGGGCTACCCCGGGACTGCAAGGGTTAAATGCTTAATTTTTTGTCTAGGGTCAAAAATAACAAAATTATACTCACCCGGTCCTCCGAGCCACCTGACTGTGATAATTTTTTTTTACCCAGAGTTCTTCTTTAATAAGGCATTAGGCAAGAGAGAAATTGCCCATGCCAACACATCAGAATGTATCATTGTACTGACTGATTTAAGCTGTTGAATGTTGAAAGCAGGTTGGTTACCAGGGGTTACAGCATGCTGCATACAGTATATCCAATGTTCATTGCATTACTTGAAAACCTGTCGTGAAACAAACACATGGGGGGGGAATTTATCAAAACTGAAGCAAACAAAATCTGGAGCAGTTGCCCATGGCAACCAATCAGCATCTCTCTTTAGTAAGATTTGAAAATGAGAGAGAGAAAATGATTGGCTGCAGTGCAAATCTGCTCCATATTCTGTCTGCTACAGTTTTGATAAATCCCCCTCACAGTCTACTATTGTTGACCTCCTTGTGAAAGTGTAAGCTGGCTTCTAGACTTTCTTAGTCACTGACCCAGAATGAGAATGAGCAGTGGTGTCACAAGGCGGGTGCGGGGGGTGCGGCCCGCACCCGGGTGTCACCATTGCAGGGGTGACACTAAAATGACTGGCATCATTTTGGTGTCACCCCCCCCTCTAAAAAGTCGGGCACTCTGTCATGGCCCGAGAGCCTGAAAGTGTCAGGAGAAAGGAGGGGACCTGGCGGCACACCTCATCCCGCCGGGTGAACGTCCTCTCCTCTCTCTGCCGGCATCCATCACTAAGATGGCCGCTGGCAGGCGTCAGTAAGATGGGCGAGCTCCGTAATGATGTAATTGTGCATGCGCAAGGTGACGTCACGTGCAGGTGCGATCACAAAACGGCGGGGTGTCACCCGGTCTGGAGACCAGGTGACACCCGGCCTCGGGACGCCATTGAGTATGAGGTTCGGGATTACAGACTTCACTGTATGTATTCTTGTTGGTCGGTATCTTAGGAGGTCAACAATGGCCGTCCATAGACTCAATTCACAAGGCTTTACACCTTACAAGGATAAGTATCTTTATTTTCAGCCATGTGACTGTATTTTTCAAATCTCATTGATTAGGCTAAAAATAATTGTCACCAATAATTGAGAGATTCTTATCCTGGTTAGCTTTATGAACTGAGCTTCTATCATTCCCATAATGGCAAGTTTCCTGTAAATGAGCCATCTAGAGCTAGAATGATATCTCCATTGTAACATCGAAACATGAGTCTTCAGCTCCAATCTGCTGAGATAAAACCCAGATCTGCACAACCGCACCCACCTGCATCTGTTAGTCCTTACAAGAGCCACATGATATATGTTTATGAGGCTGTCAATAGAGAAATTATATGTACTTGTAATGATTGTTCCCGGCATTGATGGCAGCAATCAGTTCCAGGGGTCATTATTGAGCATTGAAGAGTGTATGAGAAACAAAACTAGCCAGGGCTGTTGTCAGGATCATCCCACATGCTGGAAAATAGATGCTGGCAACTATTTCCAGAGATGTGAATGCACAATTGGTACACAAAAATTGACTGCTCTCCCAGGTCAAAACTCTTGTGATCCCCCTACCCTGGTGTAATATGTGGCTGCATAGTATAGAGAGAGCGATATACACTGAGTGGCCAGATTATTATGACCACCCCATCAGTACTTCGTTGGGCCGCCTCGTGACTCCACGAGATGTTGAAAGGTGATGCGAGGAATCTGACACGGCACTGTTGCCCTTCTGTTGTCTTGTACCAGTCTTGCCCCTCCCCCGTTCTGCCCTAACATTGACTAGTCGCTGACGGCCACAATTCGCACGTTCAGACCCAGATTTTCGGCTGACAGTCCGGTCTTTAAACACTTTAATGAGCCCCTCTTGAACATTTAATGAATTCGGCTGTTTTGCTGATACTCGCTCCATGGCTCCGAGCGCCAACAATCATCCCACGTTGAAAGGCTGTGAAATTGCGTTGTTTCCCCGTATCTTCAAAAACAAATCACTTCTACTGTTGTGGTAAACAACCCGCTATTTATAATGGTCTGGCCCTCTAGCAACTTCAGCTCCAAATTATAGCTAATTTACCTACAAACGTCAGGTGGTCATAATAATGTGGCCACTCAGCGTATAATCTTTTATCGACATGACTGCTTTCATTGGCTCTCACAGTGTCTTCTCTTTTACATTGCACAGTTCAATAGGTTTGACTACCCTGCACAGTGCACTTAAATTACCTAGCCAGGTAAATCCCCTTTCTTTCTCCACATTACACTTTTGTTTTACTGTTGCTTATGTCTGTTTTACAATATATTTCCTGTAAATATACCCGTCACTGTTTTTTCTTTTCTTTTCATTAAAACAAAGTTTAAAAATCATTAGGATGAATTTCTGAATGCTCCAACTAGAAATTCAAGAATTTTGCCTCTTTGAAAAAGCTACTGTAGTGTAAATTCTGTTACATTCCTGCCTTGGTGTGGAAGCGAGTGACTATGACTTTTTTTAAAGGTCAGAATTACAACAGCGGACTCAGTGAACGGTACCTGTTTCAGTTTAAACACTGGATGGTGGCTACTGTGTGTATGTAAAGGGCTAAATGCCCCAGTGAAGATTCCTTTCAGCCTACAGGAGCTTAGACTATTGTTCCCTGTGAGTTGGAAAGTCTCTATGCAGGCTGAGGCCGAGTGTGCAGTCGTTCCACTTCTGCCCTCTCAGAGTGGGCTGTGTAAATCTCAGGAATGAATCGAAAGAAAGCAAATCCTTTGGCAGCTCCCATATACAGGGCTCCCAATATAATGAGGCAGCCTGAGGTGGTTGCCTCAGGTGGCATCTCATTGGGTCATGTGTGGGGGGAGGGGGGCAGCCCTTAGTAACCGGGGCATCTCCGGTTACTAAGAGCTCAAAGCAACCTGTGATGCTCTGCCTCTTCCGCTCACCTCACTGACGTCACTGGTTGCCAGGAGCTGGGTGGGATGCCAGACAGAGGCACTGGAATGGCACCCAGCACTGTACCCCGGATCCCCGACCCCCACTGGACCTGCACCGCCAAGACACACAATAACCCCCCCCAGACCTGCACCGCCATGATCCACCACCACACCAACCCCCTCCCCCCCATTTTGCACCACCAGCACACACAACCACCCACCCCGCCCCCAGGCCTCAGGCAGTGAGAGATATAGGGATGCCCCTGCCCATACACAATACAATATGCAGCACTTTATCTGTGTATTTAGCTGTTTGTCTGCAGTTCAGCTTTAAAAAGTCATTTTCTTGGCCCCAGTGAAAGTTGGATCCCTTCAAGAAAATCTTGTCCCTGACAGCAGTGATTAAAAGGAAGTATCTGATAAGGGAAATGATTCATCTCTTACAAAGAAGTCATCTCAGATACCATCTGGGTCCTTATTGAAGAGGTGAAGTGTCTGCCAGGCTCATTCAGTAATGCAAAAACCAATCGTATAATACAGAAACATTTAGGAATCAATGCAGATCAACAATCATTGACCCAATTCTAATATACAGTAACTAAGCGGACTGAAGTATGACTGGATACTATAGGTTAACATACTCTGCATGTCAACATTGCCATTTGTATTACTTTATGGAATGAGACCAAATTATTCATTTTAAATGGAAGTTGTGGGATCAGTAACAGCTAAACTGCACGACTGTCGCACAATTGTCTTCAGATGTGAATGGCTGCAATTAAATGGGGACAGTGATAAGAAGTTTTAGTGAGGTTCAGGTTTGTCCTGCCCAGACCTCACCTCTAAATATGTAGGAACTCCTCGTTACACCCACTCTACAGGTTGGTCCTGGCTAGAACACACCTTTTAAATATGTGGGGACTGTTTACTACGCCTACTTTAAGGGTTAGTCTTGGCAAGATCCTACCTCTAAATATGTGAGGACTGCCCATCAAACCCACTTTAGTGATTAGTCTTGGCAAGATCCTACTTCTAAATATGTGGGGACTGCCCATCACACCCACTTTAAGGGTTGGTCTCAGCAAGATCCTACCTCTAAATAGGTGGGAACTGCCTATCACACCCACTAAGGGTTTGTCCTGGAGAGAATACACCTTTAAGTATGCGGGGACCGTCCATCAGGCCTACTTAAGGGTTAGTCTTGGCAAGATCCTACCTCTAAACATGGGGAGACCGCCCATCACACCCACTTTATTGGTTGGTCTCGGCAAGATCCCACCTTTAAATATGTGGTGGCTGCTGATCACGTCCACTTTAAGGGTTGGTCCTGGCAAGATCCTACCTTTTAAATATGTGGGGACTGCCCATCACAGTCACTTTAGGGGTTGGTTTCAGCAAGATTCCACCTCCAAATATGTGGGGACTGCCAGCCCCTGATCCCTGAAATTAATACCTTTATGGGTTATTGAGCATGTGCAGTAAGTCAAATAAGGTTGATGATCCTGTGATCTCAGGACATGGCCCCCCGGCCTCCCGGACATAGCTTCAGCAGAACAGAGGGCCAAGATGTGGGACTGTCCCAGCAAACCTGGTATAAGAATCCAAGGGTCAAAACTGGAGATACTTAATGGATACAATGGACCAAGTTAGCACCTTTTCATCCCTATCTGAAGTCCACAATTGGCGAGCCCCTCCATAGTTAAAAAAAAGGAATAAAATGAATCCTAGAAGACATCAAAAGAAGAATAATTCCATAGAATTCGTAACCCACTTCTCCTCATTCACTGAACTAGAACTTTTCAGAGTACCCATAATGGCTTATTACTGTAAAATCTTGTACACAGCAGGTCCCGCAAAACTCTTCTCACAGCCGAGCAGTTACCAGGCAACATATTCAGTGAAGAGGAAGAAAACATGTTAGTGTGGAATCTCTAAATGAGTTCAGGCAGCGGTAGAGAATCCCGGGCGATCCCTAGGTGACGGCAGCTATTACAGGAAAGTCACGCTTTTCACCCGTCTCAAAAGTTCTGTCCCCACTTGTCACTTACATAGCAGAGCTTGTTGACGTCTCCTACTAATTACTGGAAGAGCAGCCAAATCTGAATTTAAAAGAAGTATCACCAGGTAATTCTGGCGTTTAAAGGAGAAAAACCTAAAGCTTAACTATGAGCATGAAAGATGTTCATATCAATATATTTCTCAATAACCATAAAGGATATAAATCCACTTTGTGCGCACCAAATCACTTTTGGAAAGTTGAAGATTTGAGTCCTATGTGACAGCGCTCTCCAGGGAGGAGGGGGGGCAGTAAGCAAGGATTTGAGTGGGGTAGGGACGGTGTGCAACTTCTGTTTAGTATGGACCGGGGTGTCCAACTAGTGTGCATGAAGAACAAAAAACCGAGTGAGTAGCGCTACATCCAAATGGATGGAGAAATTAAGGGATATCAAGCCAGGGGGGCTGGGGCAGAAAATTGGTGTTGCTGAAAAATATATAGAGATATATATTAGGGATGTACCGATATATCGGCCGCCGAAACATATCGCCCGAAAAGGATTCGGTACATCCCTAATATATATCTCTATATATTTTTCAGCAACACCAATTTTCTGCCCCAGCCCCCCTGGCTTGATATCCCTCAATTTCTCCATCCATTTGGTTGTAGCACTTCTCGCTCTGTTTTTTGTTCTTCATTCACCAAATGCCTTTTGCCTTTGCTCAGCCACATCTGGGGTACATAGTAAAGGCAATGGAAGCCCGTCCAATGGTTGCGCACGTATCATTAACGCGTCTCCAAGCATGCATGTTTGTGCACATTTGACGTGTGTTCACGATATGCCTTGGTAGGAACGGGGCCCTCACTAATGTCCCTTGTTGCCAGGAACTGAGTGGAATGCTCAGGCTGCCATCCCACCCAGCTCCTGCCAATCAGTGAGCTGGGCGGGATGGCAGACAGGGCTGGAGATGGTTTTGTGGAGCAATCATAACCATTACCAACCAACCCCCCCAAAGGAACATTCATTACCATCCACACCTTCCTGGCCTCAGGATGCTATAAGTCTAGGAAAGGCCCTGGCACCTGGGGAAGTATTTAGAAAAACAGCTAATAAAGTTCCCTACAACAGTTGAAAACTTGGCCATTTGGTCCAGTCAGATCCTTTGTATTGTATTTCTTGAGCCTTGATTGGTCCCTTCATTGGCTGAAAGATACCTAATAATTAAGGCCATCGTGGTCTTTTTGGATTTTGGATTCATGGATACAAGGATACTTTTGACCTCATATCATCAAGAACTTTCTATAGCTCAGTCTTCCTCCTCTCTTCTCTCAGATGAATGTTTATAAATGCACGGAGCCGGTCCAGCCCCAGGCGCAGCTCCGCTTCCCTTACGTCATCTCCTCTAAGCAGACGTCTCCGGAGATCGTTAATTGCAAAGATCGCTCTTTGAAGGCGGTGGGAAGCGACGAGTTGGATGCAAATGAGGCTGGAGAAAGCCCAACGCTGAAAACTATTTCAGGAGTGCTGATATCAGGTAAAGATCAAAAAGTAGGTTTGTTAAAGCTGAACACCGACTAAAACCAATATTTTGTCTAAATACAAGCAGCATGTGCATTGTTAGTTGAATCTCAGTGTGCGTTGTGTATTTCCATCACATATTTGTAGTAATCCAGCCTAAAACTACTAGTGTACTATGTGAAGGAGATTCCTGTAATAAAGACTGGTCACTGCTGCTCTCTCTCCTTGTGCAGGGTGACTGGTCTTGTCTCCGCCCCCTCCTGTAATAAAGACCGCCCACTGCTGCTCTATCTCCATGTGCAGGGTGACTGGTCTTGTCTCCACCCCCTCCTGTAATAAAGACTGCTCACTGCTGCTCTCTCTCCTTGTGCAGGGTATAGCCAAAGATCAGACGGACTGAAGTTACCTGTCCCTACGGGAGTATGTATTTATATAATTGGGATAATGGCAGGTTGACCTGATGTATTTGATTATTTTGTAATCAAAAGATAGTTGAAAATCATTGCCCATGTGTATAGTCAGCCAGCATTAGGGCAGATATATATAGTATGTACACTATATATATATCTGTAATGGTGAAGAAGCCAGAACACATACAGATACAACCAGGTGCCCACAGACGCTACAGCTTCTTCCTTTTGTATCCATATTTACTTACTTTTATTTATTTATACAATATATTATTGTTATTATTATTATAATTAATATTATTCTATTGCTACTATTTATCATTTGTTTGGTTGCAGTGCAATTTTTTGTTAATTGATATCTGTGGTTCATAAAGGAATTGAGTTGCTTCTGGATGATTCAGCTCCCCAAAAACTGATGAACCCGTGTCATGGCGGACTTGTTGTGTAACAGTCATTCCTATAACAACCGCAATAAAGGGGAAGAGAAGCGTGACTTGTCATAAGTGTCCTCCACAGTCCTCTTGGTTTTGAGTGTAGGCTGTTTCGGTGTGAGAGCGATAACGTTATAATCGCCAGTGACTCATCCTGGAGATGTCTGTAGATTGTGTCACATGTGGGACAGATGTCATTAAGAAGCCATGATCACTCATCTTGTGCCGTGCACGGCGCTGAGAACTGTCACCGGGGCCTCATCTGCATTCAAATCACGAATGTGTTGTATACAAGTCCTTTCTGGAGGGAAACCAGATACATTGGAGATCAGTCAGCTGTCTATTGTACATGATACATAAGATATCTATCTATCTATCTATCTATCTATCTATCTATCTATCTATCTATCTATCTATCTATCGTATCTATCTATCTGTCTGTCTATCTGTCTGTCTGTCTGTCTGTCTGTCTGTCTGTCTGTCTGTCTGTCTGTCTGTCTGTCTGTCTGTCTATCGTATCTGTCTGTCTGTCGTATCTATCTATCTGTCTATTAGGTGTTCTGATGATCTGCCTATCAAATATCTATCTCATATAATCTATTGAATTGATCTATCTACAGATCAGTGTGTGAATACTCCTCCTTCTGACAGCGAGGACGCGAAGAAAGCGAGCAGCCCGCAGCATGTACCAAAGCTGCGTTACTCCCTCGGTTATGACCGGCAGACAGCTGAGCTCTGTGTGTCTTTCCTTGAAGGTAAGTCCTTCCGCATGCATTAGTTCTTTGATTGAAGCTTACATCAGAAGTGCTATTATGTTAAGAAGAAACAAGTTTTGAGCATCCTTTTTTCCTAAACTCCTTCTGGACGTTGAACAAAGTCAAATATGGGAAACCAGCTGTTCTGTACAGGGCCGGATTCAGGGCAGGTTCACACCATTTTCTGGGCCAGATTTGGTCAGGGAAATGGTGTGAACCTGCCCCAGGTTCCAGTGCATTCCAGACCAGACAAAATGAGACGAGCAGTATTTTTCTGGTCTGGAACGGACTGCACTGGTGTGAACAGAGGCCAGAAATAGCATAGGGATACATTGGGATGCATTTTGGGTCTGTTAACAACCGGGTCTGGCCTGGAGATGATCTGGATGTGGTGTGAATGGACCCTGAGGGCTAGTTCACACCACCTCCAGATCACCTCAAGACCAGACCAGATTGTTTCCGGACCCAAAATGCATCCCAATGTATCCCTATGCTATTTCTGGCCTCTGTTCCCACCAGTGCAGTCCGCTCCAGACCAGAAAAATACTGCTTGCCCTATTTTGTCTGGTCTGGAATGCACTGGAACACATCAAAAACACATCAAAGACGCATCAAAAACGCAATACACCACAATACAACATGTTCCAGATCTGTTCCAGAAAATGGTGTGAACCCAGCCTTACCCTATCTGCTGCCCCAAGGCTAGGTTAGGTTCCTCAATTTGTTTATCAATTCTTCTTTTTTTTTTCCACTTAACTTTATTGCTATCACACAGGGAGTAATAATCCCCTGTGTGACAGCATTTGGAGGTGACAGATTATCTTCTCTTGAAGGAGTTCTAGCTCAGCACTGTGCTGGCTCTCCTGTGACAGCTGAGATGGGAAGGCTGCAAGCTCTCCCTTCTCAGTGCTTAAATGGAGCAGAGCGGAGAGCGGACTTTCTCCGCTCTGATCCCCGCTCTCCATCCTAAACTACTTTGGCATGGTCCCGGGTCCCCCAGAAGAGCGGCGGACCTCGAAAACCACGCAAGGAGGGAGGTGGCCAGCAAGGAGAGAGGCGGCCGGTGGGGAGAGAGGTAGCCAGTAGGGGGAGGGGGGGCGGCTTTGGAGGGCTCAGACCTGCAGGCTGCATACAAGTAATATCTCCTCTGCGACATTGCAGAGATCACTTGTACAAAACGAGTGGCTCTACATTTAGCTCTGGTTGCCCAGGGCAGGGCTGAATGTAAAAAAAACTACCCGCCCGGGGCCCGGAACTGCATGTCCCGGGCATTGGGCAATAGGAATTGCATACCCCTGCCGCCCCTCTACTTCCTGCTGCCCTGAGGCCGGGCCTTGGGTGGCCTTGTGGGAATCTTGCCCTGGTTCTGGATGTGCAGATGACCAATACAGGAAAACACATGGATCCACCAACTATCCTAAAAGCGTATCCAAACCCCAGAAGAAAAAAATTCAATATATTGCAGCCTACCAGTGCTTAGATGTGTTGGCTGCATTAGTTTTCACATTTCAGGGAAACATTTTCAGCAAGTACAGAAAGTACCCGTTGATGTTGCCAGCAATGCTATTCCCTTTGAGATTAAAAGAAAGTACAAAGAACTTTCTTTATCATGTAAAATACTTATCCTTTTGGGTTTAGATACACTTTGAATAAGGCTTAAACTCTTATGTAAATAATGTCATTTAAAGAAGATCTCCGGGCAGAGGAAAACGTAACCCTTGCAGTGCTGGGGTAGCCCCACTGCAAGGGCTCCATTTTCTTCTGCCCGGAGATCTTCTCTAACAGGTAACCCTGAAAGCTGTTTGAACATGAATACATGAAAATCTTTTTGCCCTGTGCTTAAGCCGTAGGTGTGCTGCTTCCTGGAGAGGAGGATTCTGGGAGCCACTGCTACGTCTCGGGCATGCTGAACACTCAGCGCGGACAGACGGAGGCGCAGACGGCCTTGATAAAAAGAACCGCGCACACAGTTTGGGAAGAAGCCCTATTGTTCCCCCTGCAGGAGGAGGACCGAGCCCAAGCCACGCTGACCCTCACCCTGCGCAACTCCGACCGCTTCTCTAGGCACCAGGTGGTCGGGGAGATCACCCTGAGCTTGGCCAATGTCGGCATACCGTTTGGCACTGCGCGGTGGGTGGATCTCAGGGCACCCGAAAAGGTGAGTGGAACAGCCAATGTCTGGACCAGGAGAAAAACAAAAGGCTTTCCCAAGATGCAATGGGAGCTCCCCTATTAGTCAGGAAGCTGCAGAATAATTTAGTTTGGATATTTCTTTACTTCGGGATTCGGATCCGAAATTGAATTCGGGTCGGGTTTTAGATTCGGACGAAATCCGAATTTTCGTTAGTTTCGGATGAGTTTGCGAATATTCGTTATGAATAACACAGAAAACCATATACAGATATTGATACTAAAGCTGAGGCTCCCAGACCCGAATGGCATTCAGGATCCGGATTTCCGAAATGCATTAGGGAGTTCCGGAATGCCATTCGGGTCTGGGAGCCATATACATATGTTACTAAAGCTGAGGCTCCCAGATCCGAATGGCATTCGGTAGCTCCCCAATGCAATTTGGAAATTCGGATCCTGAATGCCATTCGGGTCTGGGAGCCTCAGCTCCAAGCTCACTCCTGTGATGGACTACAATCTCACGTTCAGCTAGTTCATTTGTATTCAGATTGTAGTCCATCACAGGAGCGAGCTTGGAGTGGTGACTACTTTACAACACACACAGGGACCATGGGGAACAAAAGTAGCCCCCCTCCAGAAGGAAGGTGGGGGGGGGAATTGATCAAAACAGGAGCAGTTGCCCATGGCAAGGAATCAGCTTCTCTCTTCAGTTTGCTCAGGTAAGATTTGAAAAATGAGACTGAGAAGCTAATTGGTTGTCATGGGCAACTGCTCCATTGTTGTTAATATTTATAGAACTTGAATGCATTTTTTTAGGATTTAATTCACGAGTTTGGTGTCACTTTAATTTTATACATTGTACAAAAAAATGTTTTGTCTATAATGAATCTGGAGTAAATCATTGTAGCACCTGAAAAGTCCCAGAACACCGACAGTTATTTATACGCTATGATTTGGGGATGTGGTGCGCGGATCTCTGTGCTGCTCCAATGCTTATTAATAGCGGGGTAACATTTTAGGATTTAATGATCTCAGCAGCTCCGTGTATTACAATGAAATCCTTTGATTAAGCTCTTTGTATGTAGAACATTTTCATCTACTCTATAAATTGCCATCATCGGGGAGGTGCAGATATTTTATGGCAGAGGAGCGTGCGTAGTAAATTCACACAGCGTAGAATGATCACACCGGGGAGAAGAGCTGAAATGCCTCAATCACGGCATCGCACAATAAAAAAATTCCACCGCAGAATAATTACGTCTGATGCTGACTATATTTAGCAACAGACGTCACAGTAGGAATTGCTAACTCAGAACTGTGATTCGTCATATTCATCCACTGTGCAGCATTCTGTTCCGGGTCCAGCAGGCTTGATATTTCTAATGTGAGAGGCAAGAGGGAGCCAAGTTTAACCACAATAGAGGAGTCTAAAGGGTCCCTCACCCCGCACAAGATCAGGGGGCGGCGGTTATGACCTCATTCATTTGTAGTATTTTCAGTGATTGGGGTTTGAATTATGTGGAAATGAAAGTGTTATTATCAGGGTTGAATGGTGAGAAGACTGAGGGCAGTGGTGAAAGAGAGGTACTGCAGGAGGTAGGACTATGAGAAGACCCAGGGCATCTGTTGTCGGAATAGAGGTACTCCTGGGGGTAGAACTATGAGAAGACAGAGGGCATCTGGTGGTGAAATAAAGGTACTGCAGGGGGTAGAACTATGAGAAGACCAATTGCATCTTGTGGCTGAATAGAGGTACTGCAGGGGGTAGGACCATGACAAGAACGAGGGCATCTGGTGGTAGAATAGAGGTACTGCGGGGGTAGAATTATGAGAAGACCGAGAGCACCTTGTGGTGACATAGAGGTACTGCGGGGGTAGAATTATGAGAACACCGAGAGCACCTTGTGGTGGAATAGAGGTACTGCAGGGGGTAAAATTATGAGAAGGACAAGGGCATCTTGTGGTGGAATAGATTTACTTCAGGGGGTAGAACTATGAGAAGACCGAAGGCATCTTGTGGCAGAATAGAGATACTGCGGGGGGGTAAAATTATGAGAAGACTGAGGGCATCTTTCTGGTGGAATTGAGGTACTGCGGGGGGTAGAGCTATGAGAAGACTGAGTGCATCTTGTGGTGGAATAGAGGTACTGCGGGGGGTAGAACTCCTAAATACAGGTGAGTATTTAAGCCTGGGCTGCTGTTTTTGTACCCTGCCTGGGGACCTAGTTAAATAAAAAAATCTGCTATTCTGTCCAGAAGCATGGCAGCGCCATGTTTGTTCATGCATCATCCAGGGCAAGAATCTACTTGCTGGACTGAGATGCCAGCCTAGAGATGACACCACAATGTAAATCCTGGTGCAGTTATTGACTTCACAAATTACAGCATCCTACTAATTTACAGTTCTATTGGTTGTATGGGATGGGGAAATGGAGTTGGAGTTGGCATTTAAAGTGATTGTGTGCTTTACCCATGCAGGTGCTCCTCCACCACCGTGTAGGGATGCCTGAGTGGAAGGCATGACTTTAGGAAGGTGTCTTAGTTTTTCTCTGAGCCCCGCTTTGGGGCACAGTTGCTCTTTCAGCCACTAGCATGTTCTGATGACAGGTAGTCTGATAACATCTGTATTTCAGTTGCAGCATTCAAGCTTTGGTTAGAGAGCATAGACCTGAGGCATCTCCTCCCAGGATCAGCTTGTCCTAGATTAGAGCGGAGATGGCTGCCTGCGTCATCAGGGACCCTGGAGGAAACGGCTGGTGCAGATCATTCCTGAATCACTTGTAGAGAGGAGGGTGGGGAAGGGGGAAG